GAATTAGAAGTGTCTTATTTGTCCGCTGGTTATAGGCGTAGTAACGCGTTACATATACCTACCTACCGTTAACTATTGTAGCACTTTGACAACGTGTGACTGCGTTTTTCCAAACATGAAAGTTTATCTTTACATATTGAATATTGCATACTTCAGAATAGTATTGTATGAAATTATTGTCAATTTACAACTGAGTTCATTGACTTGCAACTACATTAGCAACTTAGTTCAGTTTTCAGTACCTATTTTAAAAATCTTTTTATACTTAAAACAAGATTTCAGAATACTTAACTGACTTTCAGCATCTTTTTTGTCGTAGTTGGGTTTTTGGCATGTAATGACCTACATTCAAAACATGTGTAGCTGTAACCATGTCATAATATTACAAATGAAATGATCTATATCAGGGGTGGCCAACTTGATTAGACCTAAGATCTACTGTATACTAACGAAATCCTGTGCGAACTACCAGGTACATACTTCTTGAAATGAAACTGCATAGTTTAGTACACAATAATGTATTTTTTATTGACCAGTCTTAGTGGTTCTTTACATGTCACATGTGAAATCGTTTCCTTTTTACCTACTTAACATTATATGCTTCCTATATATTAGTGTGAGCATTGTGCCTGAGCATTTTCCACTCGTTTAGCATAATCTAGTTTGTAGATAGTAGTTGATAATTACGTTGCGCAGTCTGGTCTATTTATTTATGTATTTGTCTGGCCACGATCGACTAGACTAACAGTCGCGATCAACCGGTCGATCGCGATCAACCGGTTGGCCACCCCTGATCGATATCTTAAAAATGCGTTGCATTCTCTCATTATTTCTAAATGCGACTAAAAAGTACCTAAGGAGTTTCCGGATTCAAATCCCAGGTTGTCTATAGTATTATATAGACCTACATAGTGATCGTAAGTTCTTTAGATTCTCGACATTCTGATTGCACTATGAAGCATTGTGCTACGACATCAAAGTCAAAGTCTAAATCATTTCTTTCATTAGACCATGAAGGCACTTTTGAACGTCAACAAAAAAATGATAGTGAAGCTATTTGCTCATTCCTATGTTACGCTTTTTCAATCAGGTTCACAATACAATTATCTAGTTACGTATAGTTTTATTGGTTCCATTGTGCGAGAACAATGTGACACTAAAATCCAGTCAAAGAGATCGGAAAGGAGAATAACCTTAAGGACAATAAATAATGCAGTCTGGAGCTGACCAGTCCAAGTTGACGGCGCCCGTTGACGAACATGGTACATAGTCGCCCATGGACACCTGGAGCAACAGAGGCGTTATAAGTGCGTTACCCGCCTTTTCGGGATTAGGAATTTGAGGATTCGGGATTGGGGAGATTGGGTAGGAGGGTAATTGGGCCTCCGGTAACCTCACTCACTGGACAAATCACAGAGCAAGTGTTGTTTCACTCCGATCGAACCGGCCCATTTCAAGCATAACTCTCCCACAAGTAAAATATTATTATAAATATAATTCTCGTCTATCCATTTTACTAAAAAAAAATTATTTGGATTTATCTATACCTTTACGGTACGGTTACGGTATGGTGGGGGGGTCGGTGTAACAATCTAACTAGGTTTCACTTTCAGAAACTGTTGTTATGTTCGTGTTTCCATTGAATAAAAACCTCCTATAATAGTACAAAAAAAGACGAAATATAGTTTCGTCATTTCCAATAACGTTTACATAGCTTAGTCAGGAAATCGGGTGCTTTCCACGCAGGACATGCAGTTTCAATTCTCGGCCCGAAAGTTTCTTTTATTTTATCTAGTGTTCTGTTTTAATTTTATTATTTTGTTACTATTATGAACAAAATATGTAACTAAAAAACCCCGAGCAAAACTCGGTTATCCAAGTATAAGGTACCTAATATCTTGTAAAAAAAGTCCTGTTGCTACTGTTATTACCTCGTATAGAAAAGGGATGTCAGAAAAAAAAACAAATAAAACACCAAAATCGCTATTCAAAATGACTTTAATTGCAGTAGTGTGGTACCACGCTGCGGGTCAGCTCAATATAACCGTACAACATCGTGTAAGCGACCTTATATCCAATCCTAGTCGAAACACACAATCGTAGCCCTCCATTAATCCAAGCAAGCAAATTACAACACACAAAAATTATTACCAAATTGGTAGTTTATTTAAAAATTGGCAACACAAGCGATTTGCCGTCAAAACGTTTATCTAGATTAGGTTGGTAGCACTGGTTTTTAAATAATGCACGTCAATAAATTCGGGTATTTTTATACGTATTGCTTTTTTAAATACTTATTTAGGTTTTTTATTTTTTCACTACATTTTTCGCAAATTTTTGGAATCTGTTTTAAGCGTAAGTGCATTCTGTCTTCAATACAGTTAATCACATGTATTCATTGTCGAATATAATCATTATTTTGTTACAATAAGAATCAGTTTGCAGAATTGAATGTGATTTTAGTATTTTAGCTCTGTTTATAATTTACGCTAGATGTTTGAAGCGAATCTACTATTTTGTGCCTCGAAGGGATAAGCAGAAATGTATTTTTGGTAGTTCTATTATATTGTAAGTTCCACGTATTAAATAAAGTTGCTATTGACTCTCAGCGTAAATTATAAACAAAACTATTCTGCAATGACATCTTCAAAAGTTTAGTGCGAGTGAGACAAAGCTATTAGTTAACGCCATCTCTTTCACCTTAGATGTATTCCAATACCACAAGTGAAAATAAAACATATTTTTTTATAGATTATTATAAATTACGTAAGATATATTATAAATTCATATAATTTGGTGTTCGGCGCAGTAGCGCAGAGGTAGTTTAATAATGCACACAGCATTTCTATTGTCTAAAATTTCTAATTATTACAAAATTCTTTGCCAAACGTTTTTAGAGCTAAATGCGGTTTTAAAAGATACAAGACTAGTTACTGACACTTGAATGACGATTGTTGAAAATTGGGGTATTTGATTGTTAACACGTTAAACGCCATTGGGGTCACCGGTGACCGGCGTTAGCGGAGGATTTACCTTCAACAGTTTTTTATTGGCGGTCAAAGTCTTAAGCATAGTTTCTTGACAGGCTAGCAAAGTTAGGGATTTTATTTTCAAGGGTGTTTTTGCCAGATCTCGTAGTCCCGAGTTCCGACAGAATTTGGGTGAGATTTTCATTAATAGATTATCAATCATACAATTACAAACGGTAGTTGAAAGTTTATTAATGAAACTTTTGGACTTGTCGAACAATTTCTATAGTAACCTTCAGGTGTTTCAACATCATAGGACTACAAAATCTATAACTAGATGAGTTCTTGAATTTAGATCAGAGCATCTCAGTAATTAGCCATTGGATTTATTTTTCGAAAAATCTATTCAGAATCCGAGTTTTACAACTCATATTATGAAGTTTCTTATTGAGGACGAGAGAAACTTTGACGTTTTAAAATTACCAAATCATGGTTTAATTGAAAAAAATGCTTCGACTTTGACTTTGTCTTTGAGGAATCCAGAACCTCCAACACAAGATTTAAAAAGCTTCTTGTTTTTGACTTCTATATTTTCAAAAACCGTAACCCCGTGTCAGTTGGAGGCTCACACGTCACAACACTAATGGTACAACACACAGCATCACAAACACATCGAGCTAACGAATACAGTGCCCGTTGCAGCGAATCGGGAAATATTGCTTAGTAGAAACTGTTTTGAAGAAGTCGTTCTTTGGGACATGAATGTAGCCTGTGG